GGTCCAAGATTATCTTCTGTGTCTGTGTTAATTGGTTTCCCTTTTCTTTGTTGAAGAAGGTCTGTGCAGTCCTTCTGCCTAGTCTGCCATCTTGCCGGAACTCTTGCAGCCTATTTCTATGGTTAAGGGAAGCCCAAGCTTTGGTGGCATAGTGCCTAAGGCACTTGACTGCTACCCAGAAGGCTGGTGGTTCAAACCCACCAGCCACAATCATTACCATGCTTGAGTCCATCATCACACCACTGTGCCAATCCACCTTGTTGGGTTTTCCTCTTTTGCACTGATTTTCTGCTTTACCAAGCACAGTGTCCCTCTCCAGGGACTGGTCCCTACTGATAACATGTCCAAAGTATGAGAAGCAAAATCTCACCATGCTTGCTTCTTCTTCTTCTTTCTTTTCTTTTTTTTTTTTGGTGCCAGAACCCAGGATTGATCACTCTAGCTGGCTGTACTTTCCTGAGGACAGATTTGTTCGTTCTTCTAGCAGTCCATAATGGATACTTTGAAATTCTTCACCAGCACCACAATTCAAATGCATCAATTCTTCTGTAGTCTTCTTTATTCATTTTCCAGCTTTCACAGGCATGAGACTATTGGAAATACATCCGTCTTGGGTCAAACCCACCTTAACTTGACAAAATTCTCACACTCAGAAAGTGACATCTTTGCTCTTTAACATGTTAAATATGTCTTTTGCAGCAGATTTGTCCAATGCAAATCTAACCATTTACCAATTCCTGAAGGAAGAAGATTTGAGTAGGAATTGCCCTTATCTAAATGTTTTGTTTGTTGTAATAATACTCTCAGGAAAGTTCTCTAGTCCTTTGTGTAAGCACCTTTCTGTATACTTGTCAATCAACTCTTCCTGAGGGCAAGGTGCCTCTCCCTATACTTTTGTGGACTTGTCTAAGCATGGCCACATTCTTGGTCAGAAGCATTAGGGAAGTAACATAAAGAACTCAAAATTGTATCTGAATTTATGCTAAGTCTCAAAATGGAGTCAGAATTCCAACTGTAGGCCTCAACCTTCCACAGAGCAAATGCTTTTAGATTTTAGCTTCTGATACAGATCGAAGAATGTCTCTGGAGAAGTGACCAGAGGTAAGGAGAACACAAAGGAGACAGTGGCTGTCCATGGGAACAGAAGAATGGGACTGACCCAAACAAAATCTTGAAAGGAAGTATCATGGAGGAAAGCCAGCTCCTAAGGGTCTCTCTGGCAAAGGGTTACTGAATCTTGAGATCATTATAGCCAATTTAAGTCCAGGCTGGCCCTGGGCCCAAAAGGAAGAAGTCTCTTCCAGAGCTGGTGGTAAATGAGGGTCAAGACTGGGAATGAGGCATGAGGCTGGAACATGCAGGTCCAGGGTTGGTAAGAACAGTCTTGCCTCTTGAGACTCTCAATCCATCATTATACAAACATTGGCATCTCTGTGATCAGATCTACCATGCATGTCCATCCTTAAAACCCAGGGCAGTCAAGCAGTAGCTTCTGAGCACTCAAGCCCCAGAAGCCCCCACAGAAAGGCTTCCCTGGTCTTCCCTTCCCTAAAACTGTAGCCAAGATGTCTGCCCACTTCTTTCCTCTTCCCACTGAGACCCTAAATCTACCTGTTGTTGGTGGAAGCCAGGCAGAGGTCCACATAGAAGAAGTGATCAGGGCTCCAGAGAAAAGAAAACAGATAATAACTGCCTAGGGTCCCAGAAGAGAGAATGGAGTCTGGTCCCTGTACTATGAGAGGATGTAGGAGTCCCAGAGCCTGTCCTTCAGGGTCCCTTAGCCAGGAGAGGCTTGTGCCCAAGGTCTGCACACCCAGTTGAGCTCATGAGGGAAGGGAGCCTCTCCCAATGCTATTGGGCCAGGAGAGGTCCTAAGGTTTGGATACCCCGAGGCTTGCAAACTACTGGAGCAGGCAGGATGTGTGTGTGAGAGAGAGATAGACAGACAGACAACAAGTTAGAAAAAGGCTCTGAGTTCCTGTCTAGGAATCCCTGAGATCTCACCACCAACTGGGACCAGAAATAACAGAGCAGGGTGATATCCCTTTCCAGGGGACAGGGCCTCCACTCTCCCCCTATCCTTCTATTCAGATTGAGAAGAGGAATGAAAGACCTGTTGGGATCTGGAGTGATGATGTCATAGGAAGAGACAGAGTGGCATTTCCCCTGAGGCCCTGAAGGCCCATTTCCTCAAGAAAGGAGTTCACCTGCAGACACTGCCAGGCTGATGTTAATGAAAATAGTGATTAAATTACTGGAAGAGTTGTATCTTCCACACCAGTAACCAGTAAGATCTGAGATCCCCAAAATCCTCCTCCCTCAGTTTGGTTATGATAATGATGATAAAGCCAACATTAGGCTCATCCCAGATTGTGTACTGGGGGTCCTCAGCCTCTGTCTGGGGCTGGGAGGTGGTGACTAATCTGGTACACCTATTTGGAGATATCTACCAAAGCCAGGATTTTTCCTTGTGGGGCCCTCCCTTGGACTGGTGTTAGCATTGCACATATACTGTCTGCCCAGACACAACTCTCTGTCCCCAGAAACCTGGAAAATAAACCCTCAGATAAAGGGCCTTGCTATACCCAAACCACCCCTCTCATAGGGCTGGGAAATGAGGACAGGTAGCAACTTCCTGGTGTCCACACACAGAATATTGTCCCCAAACCAGCCCCCAGTCACAGAGCCATCCTGCTCCCTGTCCCACCTCTTCTCTTTCACTTCTCCCCTACATACCCCTGCCCTCTTCCTCTCTATCTTACTTGATGCCAGGAGCACTGGCAAAACAGATGACAGAAATGGGCATCAGGCTACCCAGGCCATGCCACCCACTACCTATTTCTGAGTGTGAGAAAGAAATGGAAGGCCTCTGCAGAGAGGGAACAAGAAGGAGGGTCTAATTTTTGCCCCAGCTTCAAAGTGTCTCTGAGCTGGAAATGCTGAGAAAGGCAAACATTTTGAACGGAGAACTGATTAGCCTGGAAGGGCAGATTTTGTGGGCAGAGAGGAGGGAAGGACTGACCAGCCTTGGGCAGGGGATTGCTGGCTGCAGGGTCTTTCTCTGTGCCTGGGATCTCTGCTCTGGCCCAGTTACTCAGGTCCCCTATATCCAGCCTCTCCCATCTCCACCACTCTGTGCCTACTCCCATCATACTCTTTCTCTGTTGTTGAGGGAAGCTCAGACAAGGCCCCAAAAGAAACTATGGTGAAATAAGAAGCTGCTCCTCTTTTTTTCTCTCTTTCTCTGTGCATTGTCTCTGAGTGGCCAGAGGGAGACTTGGAGAACTTCATTAAGCCTTGCTTTGTGTTTTTCCATCTGAGAATTCCTTAGATATCATGAAACACTTCCTTTCTGTTTGCTTGCCAGTAGTTGTTATCCACAGGTATAGGTAAGACTGCCTTTGATCTGATCTATGGCAGTTTGATGGGAGTTTTCAATTCAATAAAGTTTTGGGCATCTAGTAAGTTTGTTTTTGTTTTGTTTCATTTTTGGCTGGCCATTCCCCCAACTCCTTTCTATCAGCCTCTTGCAAGAATTTGTTTGCCTCTGCTGATGGCAGCAGTGTGAGATTCTGGATAAATTACTATCCTGAAAGTTTTCATGCTTGTAGAATCTTGAGCTTTATAAGCCATGAAAACAAAGGGCACATGATGATTAGTAAAAAACAATAGAGTGCTTGCCAGCCATAAAAGACAGTTAAAAGATTCCTGTGGCAGAATAAACTGGTTCAGAGGACAAATCAGAAGTTCTAGGCTGCTCACCCGCCACATGACAAACCCCCTGCAACATTTAGATACAAAGGGTTAAGGAATACACTGCTCAAACCCTGCAGTGCTCCTCATCGGAATTTTACAGAGCCTGAGAGTCCTAAACTTTAAACAAACTTGAACCTTCTCTGAAAATGGGAAACACCATACGTAGGAGCAAGGCAGAGTTCCTTTATGGTACTCCTGTCCACTATATAGACAAGTACCATGGCTCTACCTCTTGCTTGTACCTATCTACTTAACATAATATTATTAAGGACAGTCTGGAAAAATAAATGTGGCCACTTTGGTGTTGTCTGCTCAGTAAATTAGAGCAATAAGTCTCCTGGATTAAAAAGCATTTAAAAAACATGAAAAAGTAAAATTGCTTACCTACAAGTTACTGTATCCAAATTAACAAAACAAAGCTAGAAGTTGCAATTTAAAAGCCCTACTCCTATCTTCAGAGCTCTGGTAGCACAGTGCCTAAGGCATGTGACTGCTAACCAGAAGGCTGGGGGTTCAAACCCACCAGCCACTCCTCAGAAGGAAGATTGGACAATCTACTTCTATAGAGATACCCCCTCAGAAACCCAAGGAGAGGTCACTATGAGTTGGATCCAACTCGACAGCAGTGAGTTTGATTTTTTTGGTCACTCCTATCTTCCCCCTTTAAAATCCATCCTAATATGGACACTGAAGGTACTTTACAACTAGAGTGTTTATAAAATAAGAGACTAGATCTCTAACTGACAGAATAAATTAAGAAGAGAGTGAAACCAGGTTTCATATGGTTATTATGAAAGAATCTCAGAAGATCAACTCCCTGCTAAGAATTTTATTTGACCCTGGAAAAACCAATTCTTAACTTCTTTGATAAATGAGCCTGGATTTTCCTCCTACTAGGATGTTGGTTTGGAGTTTATATTTTCAACTTAATATATTAGAACTAATTTAGAATTCAGTGATCACTTTGAGTAAATGAGTTCTCATTTGTGTCTTTTCTTTCCCCTGGAAAACTTGTTTAGTGTTTGTTGTATGGTGTTGTCAAGTAAAGGTTAAGGAATATTTTGTTTCCTGGAAATGTTTTGGTTTCTTTTCTTTTTTTTTTTTTTTTTAAGTCTGCTCTCTTGCAGATATTTTGGTGTGGGACTCCAGCTCTTGAACAGAGAGTAGCTAAAGCAAATGAAAGAAATGATGAAGTAAAAGAGTTGAACAGAAGATTTCAAAGGGGGGCTCAAGAAGACCTGCTAAAGTAAAAGCAAAGTATTATAATGAAATATGCAAAGGCCTGCAGTTAGGAAATTAAAAGTAAAAAATACACTTGACACTTCTCAAGCTGAAAGAACTGAAGAAGAATGTCAAGGTTCAAATTGTAATATTGAATGATGCTATGTGCAAAATATTTAATGATATAGGAAGCCTCAAAAGAAGATGGAAGATACACAGAATCACTGTACCAAAAGAATTGGTCAGTGTTCAACCATTTTAAGAGGTAGCATATGATCAAGAACTGATAGTATTGAAGAAAGAAGTCCCAGTTGCACTGAAGGAATTGGAAAAAAAAAAAAAGGCTCCAGGAACTGATGGAATATCCATTTAAATGTTTCAACAAAAGTATTCAACAGCAGAAGTGCTCACTCATTTATACCAAGAAAATTAGAAGAGAGCTATCTGGCCAACAGACAGTAAGAGATCCATATTTGTGCCCATTCCAAAGAAAGATGATCCAAAAGAATGTAGAAATTATGGAACACTATCATTAATATCACACGCAAGTAAAACTTTTCTGGCAATTATTCAAAAATGGTTACAGCAGTACACCTACAGAGAATTTCCAGAAATTCAAACCTACTGCTGTAGAGTCGTATCCAACACATAGTGACCCCTCCTTGGGTGTCTGAGGCAGTATCACTATGGAAGTAGATTCCCCAACCTTCCTTCTGAGGAATGGCTGGTGGGTTTGAACTGCCAGCCTTCTGGTTAGCAATCAAATGCCTTAGGCACTAGTTAAAAGAAGGAATGCAATGAGGGACATCATTGCTGATGTCAAATGGACCTTGGCTGACAGCAGAGAATATAGGAAAGATGTTTATGTATGTTTTATTGACTATGCAAAGACATTTGATTGTGTGGGTCATAACAAATTACAGATAACATTGTGAAGAATGAGAATTCCAGAACACTTAATTGTGCTCATTAAGAACCTATATATAGATCAAGAGGCAGTCATTCAAACAGAATAAGGGGATACTGCATGGCTTAAAATCAGGAAAAGTGTGCATCAGGGTTGTACCTTTCACCTTTACTTATTCAGTCAGTATGCTGAGCAAATAATCTAAGAAGAATGCAGTATCAGGACTGAGGAAGACTCATTAACAACTTGCAATATGCAAATGACACAACCTTGCTTACTGAAAGTAAAGAAGACTTGAAGCACTAACTAATGAAGATCAAAGACTACAGTCTTCAGGATGGATTATACATCAACAAAAAGAAAACAAAAATCCTCACAATTGGACAAATAAACAACATCATGACAAATATATTGAAGTTGTCAAAGATTTCATTTTACTTGGCTCCACAATCAATGTCCATGGAAGCAGCAGTCAAGAAGTCAAATGATGTATTGCATTGGGCAAACTTGCTGCAAAAGAACTCTTGAAAGCATTAAAAAGCAAAGATGTCACTTTGAAGATTAAAGTGGGCCTGATCCAAGCCATGGTCTTTTCAGTTGTCTCCTGTGCATGTGAAAGCTGGACAATGAATAAGGAAGACCACAGAAAAACTGATGTATCTGAATTATGGTGTTGGTGAAGAATATTGAATATATCATAGACATCAGAATCTGGAATTCTAAACTTCAATGCTCCTTGGAAGCAAGAATGGCCGGACTCATGTTTTTGCCTGATACTAGAAAACAAGCACATACTATTCTTTTTTTTTTTTTTTTT